GAGCCACCGCGCCCGGCCCGTATTTCTTTCTTTCTTTCTTTTTTTTTTTTTTGAGAGGGAGACTTGTTCTGTCCCCCAGGCTGGAGTGCAGTGGTGCAATCTCGGCTCACTGCAACTTCCGCTTCCCAGGCTCAAGCGATTCTCCTGCCTCATCCTCCCGAGTAGCTGGGACTACAGGCGCGCGCCACTACACCCGGCTAATTTTTATATTTTTAGTAGAGATGAGGTTTCACCATGTTGGCCAGGATGGTCTTGATCTTCTGACATCTTGATCCCCCTGCCTCGGCCTCCCAAAGTGGTGGGATTACAGGTGGGAGCCACTGCTCCTGGCCCTGGCCATATTTCTTAAACTTAATTGCCACCAGGAATGCATACCACCTATACTCTTCCAGGAGGATGGAAGTCTTAAGATGTCTGAAAAGGAGTCTCTAACCCCTGGGAGTGCTAATACAGTAAGTCCCATACTGCTTGCTCTTGCTGTCTTCCTGTTCCAGCCTCTTCAGGCATGAGATTATGAGCTCCTGATGTCCAGGCACATGCAAAGAGAGAATAAATATGTGCCTTGAATAGCGGGCAGAATTCTTAGTTGGGAGCAGTGGCTCACGCCTGTAATCCCTGCACTTTGGGAGGCCGACATGGGCAGATCACTTGAGTCCAGGAGTCACAGACCTGGGCAACATGGCAAACCCCACCTCTACAAAATATACAAAAAATTAGTCGGGCATGCTGGCGTGCCCCTGTAGTCCCAGCTACCCGGGGAGGCTGAGTTGGGAGGATCACCTCAGTCCAGGAGTTTGAGGCTGTAAGTGAACCATGATCGCGCCACTGCACTCCATCCTGGGCGACAGAGTGAGACCCTTCTAAAAAAAAAAAAAAAAACCCAACAGAACAAACAAAAAATCCCGACTTATTCCCCACCAGCTTTCTTTCAAAATCTGTTTTCAAGCTAGCTGAAGTGTTACCTCCAAGCCTTCACTTAACCGAATCTCATCGTCCTGATTAATTTCTTCCCTAGCATTTTGTTTAGCTCTACTGATTGCTCTTACTATTTCAAGTCGCTATTATTTATATATTTTTTCCTCCTCACTATACTGAGATCCTGCGGGACGCCGCATTCTTACCGCTTTTCCTTACTCAGCTATACCTTGACCAACCCGAAAGCCGCGCCAGTCTAGTCCATTTTCAATTCGCTTTATCAATTACCAATCATTTCTGTGTTTAACATTTTTATTGGTCCATCTTGTGTTTACTTCCCCGCCCTCTAAGGGGCTCCTGGACTTGGGTTTCCCCCAGGTGTATTCCCTCCTCCTCCGTTCCGCCTTTCCCACACACTGCTTCTTCTGTTTTTACCTCGACTTCCTTCCTATTGGTTCCCTTCGTCCTCCGGAGTTGGCGCCTACGGCTGTTGATTGGCTTTTCTGGACGCCCATTGTGCCCACCCTCATACCACGTGGCATTCCTAGCGCTAATTGGGTAATCCCACTAGCTCGTTTATCAGGAGTTGACGGTTGATTGGCTACTCTGAGGGAGGGCTTGAGGGAGGGGCGTGGTCAAGCGAGACCCCGCCCGTAGCCCCCCTGCTGGGCCGGGTAGGCGTTTCAGTCTCTCGCGGCCCGGGAGCTCAGTAGAGTTACCAGCTGCCCTCTTGGTTTCGCTGGTCGGATTGTCCTCCTGGCCCCGCCAAACAGGCGGGGGGAGAGGCCCCGACTGTGGGGCCATGGCAGTGGTCTCCTCGTTCTCCGCCGCCACTAGCCCAGCTGAGTCGCCGGCTTCTGCGCTAGGGGCTCCCACCGCCTCCGCAGGCTAAGGAGTCGCTGCCACCAACGAGCTGTGAGGGTTACTATGCTCCCTCTTTGCCGGCGTCTCCTCCTCTCGCCCGCGCACGCACCCCTCTGGCTGCTCAGTCCTGCCTCAGGTAACGTGAAGAGAGGACGGGGGACACAAACCCAGGCATCCTGCCCGGCCCGCGCGCTCGGCCGCTCCACCTCCTCTGCCCCGGAGCAGAGGCGCCTGCGCCCCTCCGCACCCGACGGGACCCCTCGGCTTCCCAGAGGTCCCCCTCTCAGCGGCGGCGGACGTTCCCTTCTCGGCCGCTTTCCCCTTTCCTTCTCACTTCCCTCAGGCTCCCCGCCACGTCTGCTCCCCCTTAGAACCTGGGAACCCATTAGAAGTTACCTCGCTCGCATTAGGGATCTTTCGTTTTCTTGGAAAACTCTTGTTTCAGAGACTTCCAGCTCCCCACTGAG